TCTTTGATATTCTTTGAGGCTACAGAGGCGTTATTTTCCTTCTTGTATTCAAACAGCATTACATGCTGAATGTGTATCTCGTCGTGTGACGTCACTATAAGGGATTAGAGTATAATAAACTTTACACATTATATAGGCTACACTAACATGACGTTTATTTTGGCTGTTAGTTTAACTATTATACGTGATGTACGTTTTTTTTGGGGGGGGATAATGAAAGTGTTCCAAAACGCGACATTAATTTCTTGACGACCTAATATTTTATTTTGATATTGAGTTGAAGTATCTGTGATATTATCTGCTTCAATGGATTGCATTCTACCTTAAACTTCAATACGATAACATCTTAACGTTAGCTGCTTTAACGGGTTTTTATCTTATATCAAAAAAATAGATGTGAAGTTATAGAAGCTCGAAATAATTAATTACAAAAGACAATTTCAGCTTCGGCCGTTGGCCGTACGAGTTTATTAGGGAGATTGCTTTGAAACAACATGCTGCTTTTGCCAGTCTGGTAATGACTTCATATAACCTAAAGATCATATACCAAAATGTTGGCGTTCATAGCCAGTAGAACTTTTAAATTGCTTTACTACCGTATAATTGCTGTTGGCCATTTTTATTTGTTATTGTAATATATATATAGCGCACTAGAACATTACTAAAACACTAGTAAATAATATAAGTTGTCGAAGATAACACAGGCCTGCGAATTTAAACTTCTTAAAAGTTGTTTTGGTTTCAATAACGGATTTTCCATAATTCAGCTACGCAGATTTCGAAAATAATATTATTATTTTTTTCTATCATGTAAGGATTTTTTAAAAATCGTGAAGAAAAAGAAAACTCTTACTTAGATCAAAATATTATTTCGTTTACCACTATGAACATTTTTTATTATTATGTTTGTTAACAAAAATACAAACAAACTGAAGAACATTGATATCAAACGAATATGCATCTTCATTCATCCCATATTTTTTGTGTGAAATCTACGTCTTTTATTCTCACAACTAAGTGTTGTGGTATTTATTTTATGGATATCATTTTTGGATTCAGCGTACAGGAGTTGCTGTAGAAAACTTTCAATACAATAACACCATCACAGGCCTGTGTAATCGACATCGCATCAAAACAGCTCCAGTTATCAAAATATCAAGTTTGTTCTACCACTGATAGCTCATGATCTGGCAGAAAAATTCACACTTTCTTTCAAAGTGATTAAAACATACTTAATTTTATTTTACTGCGTTACCCCGAGTTTCTTGTATCATGGTTTAGTTTGTTTGTATACTAAATCCAAGCTCATAGTTTATAATTAGCAGGATAATAATTCTTTTACTTTTTTTTCTTTCGGGTGTTTTAAATCATAATGCAATTCTCCAACTTATCAGGATAATATATTTCTGAGTGTCGTTGCTAAAGTGAGCTATTTCGGTCTCAAAAAGAACACTTTTCGGCTTACTTTTATTATTTAATAATTACTAGAACTTTATACAGAATTGAAACTTACCATATTTAAATATTGTGTAAGGAAAGAGATCACATCTTCTTTTCTATGAAATTCGAACAGATTTATCTATTGAAAGAAGAGTCATGCATGTCGTTAGTAATATGATTGTTTACTTGAATATATTATAAAGTTGATTTATATTGATGAAATAGAAACAATTATTAAGATAGGTTACAATTGGTTCCTTTTTATTTTTTTCGTAAGTGAACCATTTCACGTTTTTTTTTTCCTTTGTAAGTCACTTTTACATAATTTACCCACCCCAGTGGCAGAGCGGTATGTCTGCGGACTTACCACGCTAGTATCCTGTTTTTGATACCCATGGTGGGCAGAGCACAGATAGCTCATTGTGTTTAACTTCAAACAAACCTAAACCTAAAACATAATTTACTATTCTACAGTAAGCGATAGCAAAAAGCAGTTTGCCCCCGGTGGCTCAGCGGTACGTTTGGAGACTTATAACACTAAACATAGGATTTTGATACCTGCGATGGGCAGTACACAAATAGGCCATTGTGTAACTATGTGTTTAACAACAAACAAAATATTCAGTTCACAGTAGTTTCAGAAATTCACGCAAAGCTACACGAGGACTACCTAATTTAGAGCTAAAAGAGTGGAGGGAATTCTACTATTGAGTAGCACTCACCGTTTTCAAGACCATGGGACGCGAACCATGGACCCTCAGATTCACAATCCGACACGCTAGCCACCACTAAACAATATATTCTTACGAATTGTTTTCTCACTATTCTCAATATGACGTAACCGTCTTCAAAACTTGCTTATATTTTCTTCACCAAGTGAGAGAAAACATCTCAATAGGTCTAATCAGTTTTTTGTTGTTGCCCATTGTACTATACTAGTTTCCGGGTTAGAATTTAAATCCACTTCCTTGAATAGGCTTTGTGAAAGCCTTTCCTTTCCTTTCGTTCTAGCCCAGAATTCAAAGCTTAGGAAGGCTATTTCCCACATCCGGCGAAATCCTGAAGAATAGACGTAGCAAATGACGTATTAAGACTTACAATGTCTGTTCTCTTCTTAGAAGTTGGGGAAGCTAACACCGGCGTGAGAAGCAGTACCAATATTTTGACCTATATAGCTGGCTAAACAGATGGTATACCTTTAACACGCAAGCTTAAACCAGTTGGTTTGAGCTGATGAATCAAAACGAAAATAATTTTTCAATTTTTCATTTTTATGGTAGGTGTGAGTTATTATAATATTTACATTTTGTATTTATGGCAAAGAGACCATGGTTATCTACCGCCGTCGATAATTTTACTAATAACCAAACTAAGGCAAACCAGTCAGCAACATCTTACCACACACCTTCCACTCTAAGAAATTCACTGTCACTCTTATACCACACTCACAGTTTAAAGTGCACGGAATATTTTGTTACTTCAGTAACAAAAATGTTTTTACAATGGTAAAGATAGATGAACGAGTGTGATTGATTAACCAATCATCGATTGAATATAAAAACTGAATATACCTAACTCCCATTTTTACTTACTAACAAAAAAATACTAAGTTTACTCAGTTTGTTTGTTTTCTCGGATATTTGCTCCTGCAGGGCTATGTACTCTAGCCGTTCCTAATTTTGAACTTGTAAGACTAGAGGGGGAGGCGACAAGTCGATAGTACCCACCTCCAACTCTTATCTAACAGAATAATAAAATTTGTCTTTCATCCTTATAATACACTCACGGTTCAAAAGCGCGTTTTTGTTTTCTTTTTTGGCAGTAACAGGAAGCGAACGAGGGACCCGCAAATCTATAATAAGGCATGTTAATTACTGAAGACAGTCATTAATAAGCATTGTTGATAACTTTGGAGGGGAAAAAATAAGGTAATGTTTGATAAGAAACATATGATAAAATAAAAATCGAGATATATATATTAGGGTTTTCGCAAGGATACAATTATGAACATGCTTCAGGAAAAATGCATTAATTTTGATGTGTAAGTTAATAAGTATGGTAGAAATATGGTCCCCCTATGGGACAGCGGTAACTTTACGGACTTACATCACTGAAATCGGGGGTTCGATTCCCTGCGATGGCTTTGTTCTAACACAAACAAGCAAGTTAGAAATATGGTAACGTTGTTCGGGTCACGTGAACTTTTGCACAGCTTATTTGCGTACCTTTTCCGTAAATCCATCTGGAGTGTAGTTTAGGTCTCTCTCCAGATGAGCTTCAACTCCAGGTAGACACACTGTACAACGTGAATTCTCGGTTCCAGCTTGCCAGATAATGTCGGACAAAGCCAGCCCTAAGGTTTGCTGCTGTCTCTCTCTATATGGTCGTAATGGGTCTCTGTAATTATATATATATATATATATATTCATCCTTTTATACTATAAGGACAAACCAATTTCTGTAATAACAGTAAAGAAAGAGAGTAGATCAATATTGACGTATTTTACTGGTCAACAGCTTAGTAATCATACTGCTCGGATAACTGCTTGTAGTTCCAAACAACTGCCAATGACTTTCTTTACGAGCATGAAAGAAGTATTGTACAGTAAATGAGATTTGATAGTAATGTATTTTCCAATATCATGTTTACCACTGGAAATTACCTCTAAGCTCTTAAAGTAACATGCCCCCCCCCAGTGACACGGCGGTATGTCTGCGGACTTACAACGCTAGAAACCGGGTTTCGATACCCGTGGTGGGCAGAGCACAGATCGCCCATTGTATAGCTCTGTGCTTAACAACACACAACAAAAATAAAGCAACATATTTTTAAAACTCTTATACATTATTCACTAATTTATAGACAGCTGGCTATTATTCGCATAGGTAAATAAAACCCCGGACTTTAGCGTTTTAAGTCCGTAAAAACACAGTTGACCCAACAGGGGACATTATTTGAAGAAGGATTTTAGAGATATTTCATTGATGCACAAATCTAGCATCGAACGGCAGTATTCGGCATGTAAAGTAGCTAAATAAATTAGTTTTAAAAGTAATTGTCGAACCACTTTAATATATATATGTTCCCCGATGGATCAGTAGCAAGTGTACTGATTCACAATGCTAAAATATGGGGTTTGATTTCTCACTGTGTGCAGGGCGCAGAGAGCCCATTGTGTAGCTTTGCGCTAAAACCAGCAACAACGTTCATAACAGGCGTTTTTTGAACATGGAAATTGCTAAAATTATAGACTGTATTGGAATTCATTGTTAATAAAATAACATATTGAAAACATATAGCTACACAACACTAGTAGTCATTCTTATATAATTCTATATGAAATACCATTTCAAATTATATAACACGAAATGTGATTTTCATATTTTAATAATTTATAAATAGTTAAAGTGTGCATAATCTAATCAGATAACTAGAATAGTCTTGAATATTAAAATATAAAAATAATTAACCTTATTCTATTGGGATATTGATCATATATTTTAGTCTTCCAAATATTTTCATATTTTATGATATTTAAATATGAAACTTTTTTTTATTGTTACACGAACTATTTTACAGTTGCACAACACGGGATAACTGAATACCCTGTTTTTCATTTTTTAACGCCTCTATACTTTTCGATAATAACACATTTGATGTTCATAACAATAACAAGGTGTTAAAATAAAGTTACGACTTTTATGTGAAGCCACGTTTAAATCATAAGTAAAGAAGCCTTTGCCAAAGTTTAATTGTTTTTCCAAAGACAGAAAGTCAGTCGAGACCGCTTTCATACAGAACTTTCTGGTCTTGATGGTGATCTTTTGCATTTATGGTTTTGAACATATGTTGTACATTTATATCACTAAAGCTAAAAACAAGCCCCCTTTTTATACCACCCATGATTAAGCTAAAAACAAGCCCCCTTTTTATACCACCCATGATTAAGCTAAAAACAAGCCCCCTTTTTATACCACCCATGATTAAGCTAAAAACAAGCCACCTTTTTATACCACCCATGATTAAGCTAAAAACAAGCCCCCTTTTTATACCACCCATGATTAAGCTAAAAACAAGCCCCCTTTTTATACCACCCATGATTAAGCTAAAAACAAGCCCCCTTTTTATACCACCCATGATTATCCGTTTGAATAAAGGATGATTCATTGAGCCACAGAAGTTACAGAACTTTTGCTTTTGAACACTTCATGAATTAGTTTATATAAGGAACCTTATAAGATGTGTAGTTTTTGAGGTAATATCTAGATAAGAAAATGTACTTTTTTATTAAGTCGAGATCAGTTTTATAAAATATTTGTTCTGTACACTACATAAAGAAAACGTGTCATTTCTCAGTAGAACCGAAACAGTAACAGTTTCAGTATTATTATTAAAAGTGTAATATTTTTGTAGAATTACGCAAAGCGATGACAACATATTTTTTTTTCAGCCACTTATAAATATTAAGTTCCTTCCATATGTAATTCATCGTTTTAATTAGAGCGGAATGGAACATATAATATTCGACTTGTCCAAATAAGTGACATCTGACATTCCACTAAAGAGGGAAGAATTACCTTCTTTATCAGTTTCAAGATAACAACTGTGCATGTTTTCATTTATATGTTTCACCAAACATATCTCTTAAATGTGCAAAATAATCAATATATTTACCAGCCAATTCAAAAACAGCGCAACTACTGTGTCCAATATATAGTTCTGAATACACGAGAAGCTATGTCAAACTGACTACTCCATTTGATATCAGTTATCAAAATAAGAATTAGCTATAAATAGGGAAAGAAAGATATTTGTTTTAGTGTTTAATGTATATTTATACAGAGAAATAGTCTTCATTATATATATAAATAGAGAAAGAAAGATATTTGTTTTAGTGTTTAATGTATATTTATACAGAGAAATAGTCTTCATTATATATAGATATATAAATAGAGCAAGGAACTTCATAACAGTCACTAATAGTTAAATCAATTGCTCCGCTCAACATCAACAAATAGTGACTGCGAAACATGTTATAAAAATTATCCTGAGAACATATACAGTAACTGATTCTTTTTAACGCGTCTGTAACGTTCGGTGAAACAGATTACATTGTCAAAACTTTTATTAGACTTTGTAACGTCAGCTGAAAGATTTAAAGGAATATGTATATGAATGCTTAGAAAAATGTAAAGAAAATCATAAGTTTGTGTGGCGATTTCTTTGAAGTAATGTTTTTTTTCTTCTGTTCAGTAATGTGCGTGATATTCTCCATTTATCCAATATATATCCGACCTTAACGGACTGGTATAAAATATTCTGTGACGGAGAAATTTTAGGTCCTTAAACATTAAGTTGCATTTCAAAATACCTACATAAAGGCCCCTTCAGTGGCACAACGGTATGTTTGCGGACTTACAACGCTAGAAACTGGGTTTCGATACCCGTGGTGGGTGGAGCACAGATAGCTCTTGTGTAGCTTTGTGCATAATTAAAAACAAACCTACATAAAGAAAACGCATCAAGGAGAAATATTTTCAAGAAAAAAATCCGAATTAAAAGAAGATCAAAGACAGACCTATCAAACTTTTTAAGGTTTTATTTCCTAACATACTTGACAGTATATCTCAACTAAAGGTAGTCCATTGGTACCGTCCCCTGGTGGCTCAGCGGTAAGTCTCACAGCGCTAAAATTCAGATTTCAATACCGGTGGTAGGCAGAGCATAAGCAGCCCATTGTGTAGTTTTGTGCTTAATAACAAATAAACAAACCACTGGTACTGACTCTGAAAAACATTTATTAAGTATTCTATTTCCCTATTTCTACTATTTCAACAAGTTTCAGTTAGTCCTTCTCTACTTTATTTATGTTTATTGATTGTCGCCAAATTTTCTTAACTATAATTTAAACCTAATAAAGTGTTTATGGCAAAGCTCATTAACATTATTAATGTAGTTATTTAGTTTCGTGGCAAAGCTCATTAACATTATTAATGTAGTTATTTAGTTTCGTGGCAAAGCTCATTAACATTATTAATGTAGTTATTTAGTTTCTCGGCAAAGCTCATTAACATTATTAATGTAGTTATTTAGTTTCTTGGCAAAGCTCATTAACATTATTAATGTAGTTATTTAGTTTCTCGGCAAAGCTCATTAACATTATTAATGTAGTTATTTAGTTTCTCGGCAAAGCTCATT